CTTATCTATCTATCTATCTATCTATCTATCTATCTATCTATCTATCTATCTATCTATCTATCTATCTATCTATCTATCTATCAATCTATCTATCGATCGATCTAGCACATAATATAGGAGTCCATACCTAAGGCACCCCACCCCCAGTTTCCAGATACCACCACCCGCCATCCCCCCACAACCACCATGCCCCTCCACTTATTAGGCACGCAGTTAATAAACATAACGTTTCGTATGCGTCAACTATGTCGTCGCCCGTCCATAAGACTGAGAAACCCGGCGTCTGTGGTGTAGCGGTTAGGAGCTCCACCGTCGCATGCAGAAGGCCTGAGTACGATTCCTGTGAGGGAAGCCTATGAAGTATCTCGGTCTTTCTATGAGACGTTGTCTACATCTCAGCCGGATCTAAAATTGAGTCGATGGGGGGCATAAAACATCTTCATTTAAAAAGAAAGATCAGAACACCTTGGTCAGTGAATTTTTAGGTTGTTTATTCCGGAGCAGTTCAGTTAGCAATAGACTCAACAATAGTTTGGGCGATACCAAGTTTCTACACATGAAATGGTGTAGATCTAGATATTTATTTAATTTGAAACAAAGCTTCTTTCCTTACATAGACACAAAAATACGAACAAGTTCTTCCTGGCGGAACATTCACACGATCATCAATTCACCTGTCCATTCCATCCTTCAGTTTTGTGGATTTTTTTCCTTTGAAAAGGCTTTTGTCTTGTGTTTTGCTAACATTATCAATCATCAATTTCATGTAAAAATCCCAGTTTTTATCAGCATCTGTGTTGTAACGATTATGCGCACTGCCGACTCAAAGAGAGTCACGTTTGAGAGGTGGGTTTTTAAAAAATCATAATTATTAAACGAATATCTCTGTCCGTCTGCTTAGACGTTGTACCCTCTCGGCCAGGGTTGGCCGTGATAGTCAGGTTCGGTTTATTTTAGTGTTTTAGAGCCTACAAAATGACAGTTTGCACGGTTTACTTCCCAGGAAGTTGAGATTGTTTCAGAATTCTGTCAGGTCTGCAGATGTAATATGAATTAAACAGATTGTAAAGCGCATACAGCTTGCTGCTGAGCGGGAACTTGCGCTATAAAATGAGCATAGCAAAACGTAAAAGAACATAACATAACATAATATAATAACTTATCATAACACCACACAACACTACATAACATAACATAACAAAGCACTGTTTTGTCCCACAGCTCCGCCCTACCCCTCCCCACCTCACGTCAGCTGCTGCTGAGAGTTTGCTCGCCACAGCTTGTGAGAATGAAAGCCAAAACGCCAAACGTATGCGCTTGGGACTCGAACCCTTGCCCGTGAGTACTTTACCTTATCGTGAGCTAAGTAAAGCAATCTTGTTCTAATTGTTAATTGGTCGCTTTTAAGCACAAGAGGACCATCCGGAAAAGTGCTGTTTTGAAAAAATCGAAGGTGAAGTTTTTGGTCTTTTTAAAAGAGAAGGAGAGTTTTCTCTATAACCAAGCAAATATACACACCAATGAAACCAAACTTCTTCTATAGGTAGGACAATGCCAACTTTTGGTGTAGGTGAAAATTTCTGGAAACCCCCGAAATCTCGGTTAGCCTGCTTGTCCTTAAAAGCGACCAATTTTTCCTGTTTTTTATTCTTGAACCACTCTGAAAGCACTGATTTCCAGTCACGAAAACTGGAGTTAGTTTGTACAACATGACACTGAAATTCTGCAGAACACGATCGTTTACCGTAATAATTTTGTGCTTAAAAGGAAGATTATTCAAAATACACAGCTTTGACAACCTGTTACATAAACTCCCAAAAGTTGGAAATTCGAGTTGGTTCAAGATACGAAGCACTCAGCTAGCGTTGTATCATTATAAAATGTTGTTAGGGTACGTGCATGTCATTACCTCAGAATTACAGTTTTATCTGCTCCATACCAAGTTTTGAGGAATTTGACGTCAAAATGTTTGAGTTTCACAATATGTCAATTTTTTTCGAATGCAGTTTTTAAATATCTCGATAATGACTTTGAATATCCTTGCGATTTTGATAGAGCAGCTAGAGCATTTGTTTTCTAACCTCCTAGTCTTAGTAACTCAAAGTGGCCAAAAATGTCAGATTTGTAATTCTGGGGTAACGATATATCCATATTGTCCAGTCCCTTTTGCATCCAGTTATAGTTATTTATAATAGCCTTTCATATTATTATAACGCCTGAATGTATCGAAAGGTGCACCCAGAAAGCGTTAATCTCAATGCTATTAGTACAGGTCGAAATAAATATGAGCCTTTTGATAAGAGAAGGCGAAACATGAAGCGTGCAATAAGAGGGAGCGAGAGAGAGAGAGAGAGCGAGCGAAAGAGAGAGAGAGAGGGGGGGGTTTGGAGTGAGCGTTTATATGAGAAAGTGAGAGAGAGAAAGAGAGAGAGAGAGAGAGAGAGAGGGGGGGGGAGAAATAATGTAGACTACATTGAGAGCCTAGAGGATATGATTGTATTTGAGAAAAAGTGAACTTACTGCGCTGACTTTAATGAAGAAAGCGCAACAGACGCTGACGCAGCAGTAAGAAAAAAAGGAAACGAAGAAAAAAGAGGCAAAATAGACGACTAGGTGAGCAAGAGGAGGCATTGGAACGAAACGGAAAGAAAAAGAGGCGAGGTAGCCGACGGGTGAGTGAAAAGGAGCTAATAGAGAAGGAAACAGGGGGGAAAATGGACACGAAATAGCAAAGGGGCTTGTGAGAAAGAAGTCGGTGAGGAGGAGTATAGGGAGGGGAGAGGGGGGTCCCAAAATGAATTACACGAAAAAGAACAAATAAAACAGCCGTGGAGGAATCGAAGTTGAATGCTGTAACATGATAACCATGACAGCAAAAGTAACGAACTGTTACGAACTGCGTGCAAAAGCGAGCCAACAGCAGCGGCTGGGGAGAATCTATCTATAAGAAGCAAAGGAAGAAAAGGTACGATTACAATGACTTTAATTTTTTTTTTAACTTTTAAGGAACACCGGAGGGGGGAAATGAAGTGCTTGGCGACATATGCTCTCCCCTCCCGCTCCAGCTGTTCTATCCGGTTGTGTTCAGACTTTAGCACATTATCTTCCTCATCTTTCCCCCCGGCCCCCCTGGCTCTTGTTCCTCTCTACCCAACTTGTCTTTTGTTCTAAAAGCCCAGCGGTCCGACGCCAGCCCATTGTTTCCGCGAAGCTTTGTCACGACCGAAGGGGTGGGCAGAACAGGAATGTGAGGCATTCAAAATCGAAATTGTCAGCGGACCTTTGTCGCTGATGTGGGTTTCCTTTGTTTTGTTTTGGGTTTTTCTTCTTCTTCTTCTTTTTCTTCTTATTCCTCTTCTTTTTTTTTTTTCAAACCGTCCACCTCGAAGAGCTGTAGAAAAGTTAGTGCACAATACCTGAGCCGTTTGTTGGCAGGCTGATCGATACTGCCTAACCCCTGGAGTCAGGGTATCTTTGTGTCTGCTCCTTACAGGGGGGAGAGAGCGTGAAAGCGGGAAGAGGTGAGTGTGTGTTGGAGAGAGAGGGGGGGAGAGAGGAGGGGATAGAGAGTGAGAGAGAGGGGGGGAGGAAGAGAG